TAGAATGGTTAATTGGAGGCCCGCTTGCTTGTTCCTGCCATCAAAGTTAGGAGAAAAGGGGGAGGAAGGTGCCCAAGCCAGGTGCTACCGTTATCTTGGCAGAGGTGCCAACAAGGTCAAGCAACCGTGAGACCAGGAGAAAGGCGTGAGGAATTTCAAGCGGGAAAAGAGAGTGGAGGGGGGAAGGGGGTTAAAAGGAAAGCTTTTGCCTGGGAATGGCTAGACTCAACAATCTATAGAAGCTGTATACTACTCTCAATAAAGAAATCTTTAATGGAACTAATTCGAGACCAGAGGATTTACGGAGCTTGGGAAATGAGTGTGTGGACTCTGTCAGACACACACACACACACACACACACACACACACACACACACACACACACACACACACACACACACACACACACACACACACACACACACACACACACACACCACTGAAAATGTTTTCCTGAATGTGCAAACTCAACAGCACAAAAGCACATGGCTATACTTTAGGAGCCAGAAACATTTTCATCCTGAAGAGTCACTGGTTTCTCCCAAAATATTTTCTCTGTACAGGAGGAGTCAAAATGTGACATTTTTGAAGAAGAAAAGAATTTTCTATGCTTGGTTCAAGCTTCACCACTTTAGGGATACTAATGCATCCAAGTGTGTCAATTTGGAGGGATACATATGAGATTTCTTTATATGTCACAAACAAACATTTTGAGAGGAATTATGTCAAATCTATTATACTGAAAAATATAGGGACATTAAACATTATAAATACATAGAATACATATTTATTTTACAGATTACTTACAGACGCCAGGCCCATTATTCTTGGGAATGTGAGGGATGAACATCCATCAGGACTTTGCCCAAATGTTGTATATGGAGTCTGAAACCAAGCCTTCTCATTAGCCCAAACAACATCACACAGAGGTAATATAGATGCTCCAAGTCCAATAGCTGGGCCATTTACTGCAACAATGATGGGCTTTTTAAACTGAATGAAAGTATTTACAAAATTCCTGAAATGAAGTAAGTACACAGTTACAGCTCATATTTTAGCAATAATATACTTGAGTCAAATCCATTTCAAAATTGAAACTATTCTAGTAATTATTGCTCATAAAGATTTCTTTGAAAATGTGATAGGCACAACCACATTTTCCTATAAAAGTATAACACAAGATACAGTAACAGCACTCTTTTATTGGAGAAGAACCAGAGGAAGGATTGAATTATCAAGTTTAATTATCAAGGCTCTAAAGTAGAAAGTGGATAACGATTTTTGTAGCCAACAAGTTTTGCCATGAAGTAGTCTTTTTCTATTATTAAAACAGCATTCTCTATGAATTTGTTAGGATGATCAAAATAGGGGTGCAATCACAAAACTGACCTACACAAGAAGCAAATTAATATTTTTTTTTAAAAAAAGAAAATGCTATGGCTCTAAAACAAGCTGTACTTCTAGAACGAAATAGCTTGCTAAAATATGTTTTACACTGAGCATAAATAGTAAGAAATAAAGCAAGTGACTTGTCGTTTTTTGTATTTCACTATTAAAAAACAAAACATATAAAAACACTTGAACAAGGAGCACAAAATTGTTTCATGTTTTTTCATCAACAAGCTTGTTTTCAACACTGATTTTTGTTTTAGATATAAAGATCTGGTTTTGATACAGTCATTTGTTAACAAAGTTTCTCACATTTGGCACTAATAATACATAGTGGCTTGTTACAAACCATCCATCCAAATTTCCTTTCCAAGAAAGTGGAAGAGTAAGGCTGAGAAAGCAAAGCATTAGACCCTCAATGTGTGAATAGGAGGGTCAATGCTTTGCTTTCTTTTACCTTTTAACATAACATATGGTTTCCAAACTTTCAGTCCATATAGCCTTTGCCTACTGGGTAATCTGGTTTCCTATGAGACTTTTACAAAAGCTGGAAATTGAATCTATTCAATAAGATTCTTCTGAATTTAAAAACTGCCTTGGAAGCATGTTGTTTAAGCATACTTAACCTAAAGGATCTGTAACTCTTCCCAGTTTGAAAGTAGACACCCTTTACAAATCTCCAAAGTAATAAATATTCTGATTTAAACCATTTACTGGCTGTGAAAAAAAGATCCAAGTATCATTGGAACAGCAGTTTTGATGTCACAAATAGCTGAGTATTTGATTATTTGATTAAATGGCTGTTTTAGCTCATGATTTGTTAAGCACAATTAGAACAATAATTTTACAAACCTAATTGCATCTGCCATCTTAGTACTTTCCCTTTTTCTATCATCTGTCAAACGTCGAATAAAATAAATGAAATCAAGGCCACAACAGAAAACACTGCCAACTGCGCTAAGAAGTACAAGTTTACTGTCATCAACTGCTGCTGTGTTCAGCGCACTCTGGACTTCTTTCATTACCTGGAATGAGATGTATGAAACACATGAAAAAAGGATATAGAATATTGCTTTTGAAAAGCTTTTCATTCACCAAGTATTTCTGTAATGTGAACAGCAGGTGGCATATATATCTAATTCAGCAAAATCTAAATTTAGGACAAAGTCTAAAACTTAATTTTTTTTTTTAATAAAAAACAAATAACAATAGAAAAATGTTTTAAAAATGTGAGCATTACTAGTATGAACTTGTGTATAGAATTAAGTTTTACCAAGTTCAGTGGGATTTATTCTCAAGAGATAAGACTGACGTTTATGAATACCTAAATTCACTATAAAATTAGACCGAAAACCTTAATTCTTCATAAATATGGTAGTTTACAAATTACCAAAATACAGAAAAATGGTATGTAGGCAACACCAATAAATAGTTTAAGGTAAGTTGAAGTTTCATATTTGCATCCCTGTCAAATAGCTTTTAATTTCCATTAACCTGAATGCTTAAATATATAGAACTTTAGGCTTGGAAACTAATATAATTGTTAGTAATAATGAAATAATGTCCTGTGGCACTCTTTATAACTTTATCTTCTATAAACTCCCATCTTATGACCTTTGCTACATTTTCTTATCCTCTTCATAAATCTCACCAATTCACATTTTCTTTGCTGCCCTTTCTTTCCTGAAAATGTATGGGAGACCACCATGGAACATAGGAAGATGCCTTATACTGAATCCACCAAGCTCTACAGTGGTGAAACAGAGTGACAGCGACCTATGAGGTTGGAGGCAGAATTGTTTCTTCAGGGCCTTCCTGGACTTTCCTGTAAGACACAAGTTCTACAATGGGGCAACTCTGATCTCTCCCTATCATCATTCTAATTTTCCTGAAAAGGAATCTCCACCCTTACCCCCAACACTAAACTCTATACCCGCATTTACTAATGTTTTGCCATTGATGTGCTGGTTAACTTTTAATTTCTATAGGAAGTTCTTGGGATAGCAGGAATTTCTCCCCCCCTCTCCCCAGGCTAAAAAGCAGAAGTAATCAAACAGCTCTAACCTCTGGATTTAATGAATTGTTCTCTGATGACTTGGTGGATAATAAAATATGTGTGAATCCATCTTGTTTTCTGACAACAATGTCTCTGTATCGGTAAGCACTTTCAGTTTGCCGCACACTGAATCGTAGCCTTTTATCAAAAGGCTGGTCTCTCCTTTCATCAATAAATCTTCGTTTGTTGGCCGCTACTCCTGTTACTGATGTCTGTATGTTGGTACCATTGGTTGCCAAAGCTTCTATAAAGGTAGATGTTCCTGTGAAAAGGGTTACAGTATTTTTAGACATCAGCTTTATTCATGAAGCACAACAAATTCTTATTATCATGGAAAACATGGTAATACCAAAATACTATAGCAAAGCATAACAGGAGTAAATACTGGCTGCCTTAATGAAAGCCTATAAAAAAAGTGTAATATCTGAAATGCAATTGCTTCAGGGCCTACAGAATATGTATGTGTGTGGGGAGGAGGTGATTAAATCTCCATGGATAACAGGGGGAATATTAAAAGACAGATAATCAACACTGAATTCTTAGAAAAATCTTTATTTCATTGCCGATATGGCAAAATGTAAAAAAGTACATGTATGCACACACAAAAAATGTAAAAAAGTACATATGTGTACACACTTGATTATGTGCCATGAAATCAGTGTTAACTCTTAGTGATCTGTCGCCAACCTGGTCCTTCAGGTCTCCCAATGGTGCACCCATCTCTACTGTAATCAAGTCCATATACCTTGTTACCGGTTGTCCTCTTCTACCTTTCCCAACATTATGGTCGTCTCAAGGGAATTGGGTCTTTACATGTGTTCAAAATATGATAATTTGAATCTGGTCATTTCTGTCTCAAGTGACAACTCTACATTAATTTGTTTTATGATCCATTTGTTGGTTTTCTTGACTATCCATATTATTCTCAGGAGTCTTTTCCAACACCAAAGTTCAAAAGCATCAGTAATATTTCCATCCTGCTTCTTCAACTTTCACATTCATAGAGAGTCAGTGAAAAACCACTGCTTGCCCTGTTTTGATCTTTAAGGACAGACACACCACAATAACTGAATATCTTTTCCAAGGCCTTCATAGCTATCCTGCCAAGTGCTAGTCTGTGGCATATTTCTTGACTGTTGGTACCTTTACTGTTGATAGTCAATCCTAAAAGGCAGAAGCTATTCACCACTGTCTTCACTCTTCACTGTCTTCATTCTTCACTGTCAATTCTAAGGCTGTTTGCTGTACCGGCTATCCATAGTTTGGTCTTGTAGTTCTTTTTTTTTCACTGTGCTCCTTGATTTTCATTACTAGAGCAAGCAGATGATTTGCATTTTCAGCTTTCAGCATAATGCCATCAACATAGAACAGGTTCTTGATGTTTCTTTCTCCAATTTTAAGACTAGGCTGCTGTTCCAGCTCAGCCTTCCTCAGTATATATTCAGCATAGAGGTTGAATAAATACTGAAAAAATATAAGCCTTGTCTCACTCCTATGCCAACCTGCAGTCAGTCTGTTTCACTGTGTTCCATCTGGACTGTGGCTTGCTGTTCTGTATACAGGTTTCACATGAGGTCAATGAGATGTTCTGGGATTCCCATTTTCCTAAGGGTTGGATGGGTTGGATGATCCTATTATTTTGCTAGCATGTGACACACACACACACACACAGCCACACACTTAAATCTAGCACATTCATTTCTATATCTTTCTGCAATAGATTTATGTCTATTATAAATATATTTTTTCTCTTTCCCACACCCCCAAAATTATTTTTATTAATTTCCTAAGGGTTGGATGGGTTGGATGATCCTATTATTTTGCTAGCATGTGACACACACACACACACACAGCCACACACTTAAATTTAGCACATTCATTTCTATATCTTTCTGCAATAGATTTATGTCTATTATAAATATATTTTTTCTCTTTCCCACACCCCCAAAATTATTTTTATTAATATGCAACGCTATATATATACAAATATGCCACTGGGACTGGAAATTTTGTCTTGTCATCTATGAACTTTTCATATTTTATGGCTGACTATTTATGAAATAGTGTTGGTGCTATTTTGTAATCTATTTTTTAAAATTTACTTTAAAAGACAATTTGCAGATTCAACAAAACAAAACAAAAGATTCAAAGTGTAGCTGAAAGCTACACTGTGATCCCGCCTTCCCAAGTAATCAGACAATTATTACAACAATATATTCAATAATTATTAAGACTTGTTAATCTTGCCCTTCCCCACTTCTTCTTGCTTCTTTTTTAGTCAGATAAGCAGTCTACAGGGCAATGCCTGAGATGAAAACAGAACAATCTGTTCCATCTCAGACCACATTGCAATTGGGAACCTGGTTAACAGCTCAAGGAAAAAGCAAATCAAAGAATTGGAAGAACAGAAGTACAGACTGGCAAGTTTAAACCAGCATTTGATTTGCTTGCAAAACCATTTGTCAGAGGAGCAGATTTCACAATTCAGTCCTAGAAGAAGATGTCAAACAACCAAAGGACAGCAGTTTTAGATCCAAGTTGTTCTATCAAATACTGAAAAGTAGCTATTTTCTAGAGACAATGTTTAAACTTAGGGAAAGGATCTACGTAAATATCGATGGTATTTGTCACAGGAAAGATTGTCAAAAATGTATAAAGGGTCTTCAAATATATGTTGGAAATGTGAACAAGAGGGGACTTTTTATAATCTTTGGTGGACATGTAAAAAAGCTAAAGAATTTTGGACTCAAATACATATATTAATTCAGAACATTTTAGAGACCAATATCCAATCAAAACCGGATATGTTTCTTTTGGGGTTGATGAACAAACAATTGGAAAAATCTCATGGAATTTTGTTTTTATACATGATAACTGCAGCAAGACTTTTATTTGCTCAAAGGTAGAAGGACTCAACGGGGGACGCGGTGGCGCAGCGGCTTAGTGACACTGAAAGTTGCCGGCCAGAAATGGTCGACACTTCAGCGGTTCGAGCCCAGCTTTCGCACAGCAGGGTGAGCTCCTGCTTCCTCCCCCAGCTCCTGTCAACCCAACAGATCGAAAACTTACATGAGTAGATAAATGGGTACTCTCACTCTGGTGAGAGGAAAAATGCTGGCGGTGCCTTGCAAAAGGAGTCAGGAGCAGTTGCCGGTAGTGCGGAAGTCGTGCACGCCCAAAGAAGCAACGGAAACCCCGCCTCCTGCGCTCACCAGCTGGGCTCTGTTCTAGGAAGGAGGCACTGGCAAACCACTTCTGAAAAAACACTTTGTCTTGAAAACTGCAAGGTCTCGTCCAGGCAGTCACCGCAGAGTCGGTAACGACTGAGTGCGGATAAAAAAAAAAAAAAGGACTAAACATTACCTACAATGGAAGAATGGATGGTAAAGTTGATGGAGCTGGCTGAGATGGCAAAATTCACAACTTTGATTAGAGAAAAGATGTTGACTAATTTTAATGCTAATTGGAAGCCCTTTTTGGACTTTTTGCGTGAAATAGAAAAAAAATGAAATCATTATATATGGATTTGATGATTAGTAATACTAGTAGACAACAGAAAAAATGGATTTTATATTATAAACTTAGAGGAAGAGTTTTACTTATATCTGCTATAAAAGTTTTACTTATATCTGCTATAAAAGAAGTCAGAAGTCATTCTTTCTTTTGTATTTGTTTCTTTTCTTTCTGCACTCTGTTTTCTTTCTTATTCTCTATTTTTTCTTTTTTCTATTCTTTTTCTTGATTATTAGTTTTTGTTAGATTTTATCTTTGTTTTTAAAAATTTAATAAAGTTATTATAAAAAAAAAAGGATCTACATGGGTGGTTAAATGTTAGTGGAGTCACGTGTTAGCCTTTTGAGATAGGTCAGGTCAGGAAACAGGCCCGTCAAGTACTACTGGAACTCAATTCTAACAGGGTTCGATAACAATCTTGAAAGTCTGAAAGAATTTGCCTCTCCCTCCCCCTTAAATGAAAGAGGTTGAGTTTCTTCATCGCCCCCTTTTGTTTTTCCAGGATAGGCTAATGTTTTCATAATGTTTTCATGATTGCACAACTTGGTAGAGCTAAGTAAGGCTTTCCCTGTTTTTGCAGGGAAATTCTATTCTGCCTACCATAGGAAGTTCATTATTTCATTATTTATTTATTTTTGGCCTCAAAATGGTGGGGAACTAAGTATACAGTTTTTTTTTGTTGCCTTTAAATGGTGGGAAAGTACAGTGTTGGTTTTTCTCAAGTGAAGTTGAAGTAAGGATTTCAAAAGAAGGCGTATGGGGAAGCAGGTTCATTGCCTCTGCTTTAGGATGTGATTTAGGATATTGTAATTTCGTTCAGAAAGATAAAATTGAAAATTTTCCACAAAACTCTTAGCAGCAATTAATACAATCTATACTTCCCACATCAGGATATAGATAAGGCAGAAAACCAATTAAGTAGTAGTAACTGGTAAAATAGATTTATCTATAATTCTGAAATTAAAAATTAACAAAAATACATGTAACAATAATTCAGATTGTCAGAAAGATTTTATTTTTCATTTTTATAGTTAGCCAGAGAAATTACTGAAATGTAACTTATATAGAGAATTGGCTAAAAGAATTATATCTAAGACTTCCCTATTTTATGATATTTTGACACTTTTCACTGAAAATGTGCCAGTGCTGAAAATATGAGGAAAAAATATTATATAATCATTATCTGAATAAAGATAGAAAAGTAATTTGGTAACTTGAGAATAATCAGTTTAAAAATTATTGGACTAACTTAAATTATATATTTAAAATAAGAGTTTCACAAAAGCTTGACAAAACAAAGAAAGAATTACACTCTGGAAATTTGTACAATGAGTCATGAAATACAACAGGAATGATACCATCATATACTAAGCACTTATGTATAATCTGATAAGTATGAAATTAGTCCTGTTGGTTGAAATTGGACTTTTCCAACTATCCATAACACAACTGTAGTGTATTTGTTTCTATAATTCAATAGAAAATATGTATACTGTTTGATTTAACAGATAATACAAAGTAAGAATATATTATATAAAATATGTCTATTAATATGTGGGAGTCGCACTTGAACTTTAAGAAAAGTAATCCTGCTGGATCACGCAGATAATCCACATAATCTAACATCGTTCTTTCAATAGTGGTGACATGCCACCATGAAATGTACAGAGAGCTCATGAGAATACTCTCAGGCATTTTATATTCTTAGTACTTGATCTCAGTAAATATATATTTCTAAATATGACTGTCATTACAATTGGTGAAATGTGTTTCATGTGAATTTATCTTGCTCTTTTAAATTGTCCAGCCTGTTTTCTTTCTTCTGCATCATTGCCATATTGATCAAATACTTTGAAATGTTTTGAATGAATATGGGAACACATTAAGAGTTTTGAAAATGGATATTTAAGTAATTAGTTAACTAAAGAACAACATATCCCTTTAAAGATATAGCCTTTACTACATTCCCACTAAGCACCCTCGTTCTTTTTTCAGAAAATAAGCCACAGATGTATAAGGAGCTTGGGATTTCTCCAAATTCTACAATTTCTTCTAGCAGTATGCATCTAACAAACCTCCCTAATTCTGCAGATACAGTTTTCACTGCCAGGAAATTTTGGCCATGGCTACTACCAGCTGAGTTCTGACTCTTCAGTGGCATTTCTTGTTCATATCTATTACTATTCTGAAAAAGGTGGGAGGACAGCTCCAGCAGTTATCTGAAGTATTTCTGTTTTCGGTAAAAATACAAGTTCTCTATGCATTCATCTTCACAGAAAGTAACAGAATACCTTAACAGATTTTGAAATACACAAAATAAATAACATATAATATTTATTAGATTTGCTAAGAAGTATGTTCAGAGAGCTGAATTTTACTTTCTCTCTATTCATGTTCTCTGTGCTTACAGAATGTAGTTAAATATTTCCATAACAGCAAAGGAGACACTGGTTAAAAAGGTATCACCACAGGTTCCATGCATATGTAACAACAAGTTCATTATAAAATGGGGGAAAGAACTAAACACTGTACAATTTCAAGTGCTGCAGAATACCTGAAAAATGTATATATTTTTATTTTCAAGGACTGATTTAATAAAATATGTACCTCACCTACTTTTTGCTCTTTGTTTTCCAGGACCAAGAGGATCATGACAACGTACACTGAGTTGTATCTCTGTATTATATTTCTATGACATTATTGAAATAGAAAACACAGTCACATGAAATTATTTCAATCATAAACAAATCTAATGAAGAATTAAAAGTGTGGTTGCTTTCTTATTTTATTATTGACAATGAATATCATTTTTCAATTTTTAACTTAATCAAATAATATTTTAATTACATTTTTCTATCATTTTAAAGGAGTACCGTTAATTTAAAAAAATAAAAATAGATCCAATTCTAAAGATACCTCTACCCCAAAGACACTTTTAGAAAAACTAGTTATGCCATGCTTAATGGCTTATGGAGACTATAATGATCTAATAATGAAGAACTGACAATTTTATTTTATTTAGTTATTAGAGTGTTTGACTCAAGTATTTTAGCTCAATTCCATTAGTAAGCCTAGTTATTTTCTATGACTTCCATAGGACTTCAACAAGGAAACAAAAACAATGATAATTAAGAATGTTCTGTTGGCTTATGCCCAAATTTATTATCTTTATTTATTGTTCAAAATCTGAACAATATTTCTAATAAATACATATTTACTGATATTTCCAAAATCATAACCATCTATCTGTATGTAATATTTTATGCTGATCCATTCCCACCCCTCTCAATCTCAACTGTTTATCACCTTCTACTACAATTTTATCCATGAGGAAACTTACAAAATCATGATTCTAGGTATATATAGAACATTGAAGATGCTGGTAAGAGATATACTAATTTTAAATAACCTTAGTTAAGGGGCTTACAAATCTTAAGTTAAAATATACAGTATTAGTAGCTAACCTTATGCAATAAACAAACTGATTTTTCTGCTCAGTAGATGATACCAATTTTTATTTTTTACTTTTTAATTTGTTTGTTCTCAATTTGGCTATCTGGTGCTATTTGTTATATTAACAATTTAAATATTAATTTGGGTATCTGCAAGAGCCAAGTCATACAAGATCTGTCTTCTCATACAAGCTCTTGTGAGATTTCATTATTATTATTATTTTTTAAATGGGGTTTCTTAAAACATTTTTTGGGGAGGATACCTATAGTATTGTGCAAAATTGTGTGAGTGTACCTGGTATGAATACACACTACAATTTTTGTTAGCCACCCATCAATCCGCCAAAGGAACCAATAACCTCTGAATGCATGGGTACTTGCAAGTTTTGGGGAAGGGGTGGGTCGAGAGCCACAGTGTAAGGTATGATTATAATCTATACGGACAGTTTGCACTAATATAACACAGAAACATTTTCTTTTATGTGTTAGTTTCATATTGTGACAGAAACAGAGCCAAACAGTTTTAAATAATCTAGATAATGACTGATGATGATGATGATATTTGGGCCTCACTCTACTTCCTAAAATTGACAATTTGTAATGATTGGCACAGAAAGATAAGAAGCTATCTTATATTCATTCTGATTCCTGTCCACCAAGCTCATTATTATCTGTACAGATTTGCTGCAACTTAGAATGGTTTCAGACCAGATTTTAATTAGCCCTATCTGGAGGGGCCAAGGAAAAATCTCTGGATCTTTTACAAGCAAAAGAGAAATATTACAGCTATATGAACGATACATTTATTTTTATAAGCTCTAACAAACTTGCCTAAAATATTTTTTACCCAAAGCAGAAGCCATTTCTTATAAAAAAGGATAGCAAAATTTATATTAGTTTTTCGTATTTATATCCTATAACAAAAGAAAAAGCCTTTACAAATTAGCTTAAACTATAGCTAACTGTAAGAAAAACAATAACAATGTTTTCTAGGGGTTTTCAGGTTTTATGATTTCAGTACATGGATATTATTGAATATTAGTTACCAGTGATTTAGGAGATTGGAAACCATTAATGTATTTGCTAGAATATGGGTATTACACTGTAAGTGCAAATGTTTCATCATTAGCAATCTGTGTTGGACAGATAAACTTCCACACTTATTCTAGACCAAAATGTTTTAACTACACTATATAGACACAAGGAATTAGCTTTTATCCTTTTCTGTTCCAGTATGGCAGTCTCGTCAATAAGCTGGTGATCATAACCATGCTCTTTTCCACCATCCTTTTCTACTTTTGCCAGCATCGTAACAGTGTTCTGTTTTACAATTTTGTTTTGTTAATGTATTTCCTTTTATTTATTCCTTATATGAAGAGCAGAACTGCTCCAGTGAAAGCCCAAGCCAAATAATGGAAGCTGTATACTTAAAAATGATTGACAAAAAGCCATGGGTTGGATCCAAAGAACCAAGAGCAGAAGGAAAACAGTACTTATTTTATTTTATTTTATTTATGCAATTTCTATAGCCGCCCATCTCAATCCAAATGACTCTGGGCAGCAAACAATTTCAATAATTAAAACCATTAAAACAATTACAAATTATATAGATAGGCATCCAATAATTATCATAAAAATTACATAAAAATCAATAGTGCAACCAGGTAACCAGGTAATGTACTACAACTGCATTAGACAGGTTCTGTATCTTCTTCTATAAAAACCTTTGCAAGTAAAAGATACTTGAATATAGTTTTCCTTTTCTTCTATAACATTTTGCATGAAGTAGAGAACAGCCCACTAAAAAACAGAAGATATTTTCCATACAGAGAAGAACATTTCTTAATCTTGCCTTATGAGTATAATTTAATTTAACTTAATTTATTCAACTTAGGCACTGGCTGATTCTGAATAGACTTTGGGTGGTGTACAATAAACCCTGTTAGTTGTTGTTGTTCTAACTAACTGTTAGTTAAAAAGTAAGGAAAATAATCTTGATGGAGACATGCAAGCTTCCTTACCAAAGTGACAAGGGGTAAAACATATTTTAAATCCACACAGGCAGATACTGTTTGTAAGCGGTTCAACAGACGCCTCCCTAATTCACAGAATTATAAACAGGGGGAGGAGGCAATCAGACTTGGAAGATTATGTTATTACAGCCAATTTCATTAAAAGTAGTTTTAGCCTTCCTATGGAGTTGATTTCTTGGTCTGTTCTACCTAGTGAGGCTGACAAAATAGAAAGTACAATATAATAATTACAGGTAGTCCTCAGGTTATGATGGCAATTAGGACCGGGATTGCCATTGCTAAGTGATGCGGTTGTAAAGTGTGACATCATGTGACCACATCCCTTAGTGACAGCAATCCGAGCTGGGGAGGCCTTGGCAAGGCTGGCGGAGGCTGTGCACAGGTCACGGAAGGCCTTGGGAGGCAGCAGCTGAGAAAACTGGGGACAGAGAAGCATATCAACCCTCTCTTCTATTGATATTTCGCTTTTCTTAGACTGGCATGAGGGAAAAGTTCTTTTAGCCATTTCCCTCAGATGGAGCCAAGATTTGGAAGAAGAAAAGAGTAAAGAAGCCCAGCCAGGAACAAACAAGAAGAAAAGATGAAGGAAAAGTAAAGACTTTGACAGAACAGAAATAGAAAGCAGAACCTAAAATGGAAATAGTTAAAATAGAAAGGAGTTTTATTATTAAGATTCATTTCTACAATAGCTGTAGGCATTTATAATTTACAATTTACAATTCCTTTTTCTTTTACTTGTAATGTTCCTTTTGTAAAACGAAAGTCTCTCCCCAGCCACTGAAGGGAGATACAAAAACCCAACCAACTGTCCAAGTTTCCAGTGCTTTGTGACTACTGTCTGGTCAATCTGGTTATTGGTGGTTCAAAAAAAAAAAAAAGGAAAAAAAACCCCAAAACAAAACACCCTGTGACAGACCCACACCACAAACTATCCGACAGGGACCCCAACCAACCTAGCCTAAGGCCTGAGAAAACAGCCAGATCTTTAAGGCTTCCTGGAACATCATCAGGGTGGGACCCTATGGAAATCAAGGGGAATCTTATTTCAGAAGGAAGGTGCAATAACAGAGGAGGCACACTTTTTGGATCCCAATAGATTACATTGTTTAATTGAAGAGGTCTGGAATGTACCAACTCTGTCAGATCAAACTTGGCTGATACCACAGGAGATAGGCAGTCCTTCAAGTAACCAGGCTCTATTCCATTTAGGACTCTATAGATCATAACCAGCACCTTGAATCCCGCCTGGAAGCAGTAATACAGTATTACTACAACAACTTCCTATCATAGTTTGCCAAGTGCCCTGGGACAGTGTTCTGGCCATGCCACTGGGCTGGCAAAGATACTTGCCAGCCCAGTACTTGTCCCATATGCAAGTGGAAAACTGCAAAACTGCTCCTTAAAAACTCTCTGTGGCAAGCTTGATGTCTGAACAGTAGGCAAAGTATATGCATATATCTAATGTACAAATATACTGTAATGCTGGACCTCTTTGAGTGTACAGATATGTTGCTTAGGTTATCTAAATTAGTAAAAATAAACATTTACTTTTTTTTCTCCCAGAATGAACACTAACAAAATGAACACTTATGGTCAACTATATGTGCATTAAAAAAAATGGTGTGCACTTCAGCATAATGGTATTTACTAAATACACATGTGATTATTACGAACATCAAAGACCTCCAAACCTTTTGGGCCAGTAGACACATTTGGGATTTAAGAGGGGGGACTCACAATGGATGTCATGATAGATGTAATCAATCACAAAGTACCCATTTTTCAGACCAAGACTGGTGTGTCTCTGAGATAATAATTTGCCTAAGAATAAAAAGGTATGTGCAGGGGAGGGGGGTGATTGCCAAATGATGATGTCACACTCATTTCCCACAAAGGAAAATAAAATACTGATTTCACAGGAAGCAAACACAGCCATTTACACACAAACAAAAACAAGCAAGCAAAAAGTATACAACAACATATAAAGCTCAATCAAAAGACTGAGGCAAAATATCCCCTTTAGCCAAACTAAGTAAATAAGTAATTTGCTTTCTCAGGACCTACCTATCTAGAAGAGATTTCAACTACTGAAGAAAAACAGAATAAATAAATCACAAATACGACAATACACTTAAGTGGCCATAACGGGATTAGATGGGAAGTGGAA